TTCAAAGAAGAGTTCTAACTAAATAATACAAGCTAAAATGTTGACAAGGCGCTCGAGGTCCTAAAGTCCTAAACCAAATATGGACTGTATGTGTTGTATTTTGTAATTTACAAAAGCCCATTCCATCCTAATCAGTTCTCAAGAAAATTAGTTAATTAAGTTGAAGCAGAAGCTTGTGCTGTATTAAATAGTTAGAGTTAAGATTCAGAGTTAGATTTAAATTCACTGTTCAACCTGTAGGACATGGTTCAGTTAGATGTAATTCTAGATCATGGAGCTAGTTGTTGCACCATATCTCTTTTGCTGCAGCTGGAAAAAAGTTATGATAAGGCGTGTTGCAATATTGCTTGCAGTTTCTTCCAGTGCTCTTCATCAAAGTGAATCCTTTCAATACTGACCTCACTGCTTGTATATGTGACAAAGTCACATTATTTGGCACCAGTGAAGGCCACTTGACCCTGGACTTGATCATAGTAAATATGGTCCTTTTTTAGTCTGGGTATCTCATCCTTAATTTCTAAATAAAAGTGAGGGTCACTACACGCTTCTGCTAGAGAAACACCAAATTTTGAGCTTGGGCATTTTATTTCAACATGACCAAACTGATCTTCAGGACAAAACAAACAGTTAAAATAATCTAGGATTCAGGATGGACGATATTTTGATCGAACTTCTGCTTACATACCTCTGCCTCCACCCTGAAATGAAAGAATCAAAATCTTAATTCAGTTTAACTCTCACGGCAAAAATTTCTGGTAAATAAGTTAGTCTTACCTTTTCACGAGCTGGGCTTTTGTTGACAGTCCTTCGCAAGAGTCATTCGGCGTTCTTCAGTGTTGAAGGTTTTCTTCTGGCCAGAGAACTTCCCGGAATATCTTCTTTGGTTAGTAAATGGGAACCATATAACAATGTATGCAGCAGGGTCCCATCTTGAGTCAAATGAGTTAAATAGTCGTCCCAGCGAGCGAACTCATCATCAAAAACTGCTCCAAAAGAGGGAGGCTATCGCTATCGCGCAGATTACTTTCTAGCTCAATTGGTAGAGCGCCGGACTGTTGTGCGGGAGGTCGTCAGTTCAAATCCGGCCGGACCAACACTCAGGGTCTTTAATTAACTGAGAAGAAAGTGCTGCCTTTGTAATAATATCTGCAAATGGTTAGACTTTCTAGTCTTCTCGGATAGGGACGATAAATGGAGGTCCCGTCTCCTGCAGGGTTGGGGTAGGAGACGTTAATTTCCCACACACGAGATTACTGTGTGATGGATGTCCTCCCCGGGGTGGGATGGGTGGGTAAAAAAGGGGTTAGGTGTCAATTGGAACGAAAGTTCTGTTCCTTTCTCCTGCCATTCCTGTGGCGAATGAATTAAACTTAAACTTAAACTAAAACTTAAACTAACACAGGCTTCATGACTGACAACTCTCCTTTCTGAGTACTAGAAATTTTTGATTGATGCGGATCATTCGGATGAATGTTCAAAAATCAATTCAGACCGTTATTCATCGGTTAAAGCCGCGGGAAAAGCAGGCTAATAGAGTATTATTATATGAAGTTTGGTGCTTTTACCTTTTACAAACATACTGTATTTGAAAAACAGGAACGGGAAGTTAATATTTTCTAAGCCTAGCCACTTCAGTAACGGATATGACGCAGTAGTTATTTGACTGTAGTTAATCACGGTCGATGAATTTTTTCCTGTTCCGAGATTGATGATAGACAAAACCTCGATTATGCAAATAGCAGCCGGCCAGTCGTGTAAAAAGGAATTTTCAAACGGAAAACACGAAGAGTTGTTTTAAACGTGGTGTCGATGCAGAGAGAGTTGAGAGAAAAAGTTCTAAGGAAAGTAGGAGATGTTAATTTCCCACACACGAGAT